AACAGGCAACAAGATCACCAATCAATGTATTACCAGTTGACTTTTTTTTCTTTAAAAGTATTAAATATAGAAGGCTTGTATCATTTTCAAGATTAAAAGAGACAAGGGGGCAAATGTTATGATCGTCGAATAACGATTCGTTTTAATATAATGTTTTCCTTTTTTCTCTCTCTCTCTCTCTCTCTCTCTCTCTCTCTCTCTCTCTCTCTCTCTCTTTATAGATATATAAATTTCTTCGAAATTTCGATCGAATATAAAAAGAACAAAATATATGATCATTTTGAATCGTTGCAACTCACATCCAAAATGTATTGTTCCACGTCCAAGTCTTTGAATTGTTTCGGTAAAAAATTGGCCGATCCACGTCCAAGTGCTAAAAAAAAAAAAACAAAAAAAAAAAAAAAAAACGTTTCAAAACACACGTACAACAATTAAATTATTCATAAATATTAGAGGGGGGTAGGTAGGGGGTGAAGCAAAAGTTCGTGTACGTTTTTAAAATATATTATTTTCAAAATAAATTCTACGAAAAAAAAAACACACACACATACACAATACAATTCAATTATACAATTTATAACACAGAGACCATTTGTAACGCAACAAATGCACACGAACTTTTGATTAACCCTTGATAATAGAATAATAATAATAATAATAAGAAGAAGAAGATAAATAATTAAAAAAAAATCTTCCAAACTCACTGTAATCCATTCTTAAATATGACGTAGCTAATCGTAGGATAGATATCTTGTCCAACCTTCTCGGACATCCAACGATAATAGGAACTAAGGACGCCATCGTCGAGATATTGGTATTGAGATTGTCTCGACGTTGTTTTTCTGCCATATTTCGCGATGCTCGTGGATTACTGTAACAAAAATGAAAAACAAACAAATCGAAACGATGTTACATACGATAGGTAAACGTCATATACATATAATTGCATTTTAAAATACGATATGATTGAATTTTTCACGAGAGGGTGAGGGGTGAGTGGGGGGGGTTAGAAGGGGTTTGGATAAACACCTCTCTTTTACTTTATTATAAATATTTTTCCTGCAATGATGGAAAATAATCTATTATAATTATTTAATTTTAATTTTCTTTTTTTATTGGATTTAATATTGACGATGATATAGGATTAATAAAATCAAAAGCAAACATGTAAATATATATATATATATATACATATGTTAAATACATATATAAATGATTTAAAATCATTTTAATATTGAATTAGAAAATGCTACATGACAGAGAAATTTCCATAAAGGGGTGGTTGATAATTTCAATGAACCATATTTTTTTTTCTTCAGTATAAATAATATTCTCTCAACTCTGTAAAAATATTATTAATATTAATATTAATATCATTTAGTGTGGCAGAAGTAAATATTCACACAGTGATAAATCGAATGACTATTTTTTTTTTCTTTTCTTTCTCTCCATTCTCATCGAATCCGGTGATGATGATGATGATGATGATGATGATGATGATGATGATGATGATGATGATGATGATGATGATAGTATCGGTAAAATCAAACAGAGTTATCGTGTTCCTTATAGGGTGCCATCGAATAACCAGGATGAAAATGATCCCTGTATTAATAACGGAACCCTGTATCTAGAAATAGACACACTTATCGTGTGTGTTTATACAAGTATAGGTACGAGGAGGATGTGTGTCTGATAACAACACGAAACAGACGTGTGTGGTAAACTTTTGAACTTCTTCCTCCTCCCCCATGACCACCACCACCACCACCTTTGCCACCATCATTAATCCCACGCTTGGTAAAACGTAGTCAGGAAAATGATTCTTCTTGAAAGATCTACCAATCAAAATTTATATTTATATTTATATTTATATTTTTTGTTTTCTATATGAATGATTATTTTGTATAAAAAAAAAAAAAAAACATCCCATTCATCTTGTTTAAAAGATGACAAAAAAAAGAAAAAAAAAAATAGGAATGCAACAACAATATAAATTATTAACGAGTAAAAAATTAATCATCCCAAGAATGTGTATGTTGTTTATGCACGTATATATGTATATGGGTAACACACACAAGCGCGTACACACATCTGTATAAATATATTTTTCTTAACTTTATTTATCTCTCGGTATATTTTAAACGCAAAATATGCGCGTTAAATGGCATCGAAAGGTGGAAGGGTGGTGGATAATTTACCGTTCGAATAAAATTTCGAAGAAATGTGCGCGCACATACATACACACACACAACAAATCTTGTGTTATAACGTAAATCCGAATTTGAAGTCAGATTCCAATAAACAACTGACACTTTTGGCCTTCTCTCGTTTGGTATTTATTATTGTATCGTATCACCAATGAAATTCTGAACGAGTCATTTTGAAATACGATTAAATTTGCGTGACACAGTTTATAAAACAATTTGTATATAATATATTTGTAAATTATGATTTTAAAATATATATATATATACAAAAAGTTAAAGAATTAGATAATTATTTTTTAAAAAAAAATGTGTATATAAAATACAATATATTTATAGATGATGATGATGATGATGATGATGATGATGATGCATAAGAACATTCACAATATATACACTACGATATAAAATGCTTGATTTTCGAATAATTTTGTGTGAACAAAATATTATAACAGGTGCAAACATTATTTTGCGTTGCAACACCACCTTTCCTCTCCTCTTCCACCTTCTCTTGTTTCGAATACGAACCGATGAAAACCGAGAAAAGAAGAAAAGTCAGCCAATGATGAACACTTATGTTTCTCAAGATACGATATTTTATATTCGATGACACTTAGAAATGCATAATACATATACTATTTCTTCAAACATATATATATATAT